TAGGGAGCTCGGGCTCTTGGTGGGGAGCTCGGGCTCTTAATAGGGAGCTCGGACTCTTAATAGGGAGCTCGGACTCCCAGTAAGGAGTTCGGACTCTGGGTAGGGAGCTCGGGCCCTTGGTGGGGAGCTCGGGCTCCTAGTAGGGCGGTCTGGAGTTCGGGCTTAGTAACGAGCTTGGATTTTGCTTTCGGTGTTTGCTTCGGGCGCTCTACTGTTCCAAGTTGCTTGTTTCTGCCACGTGTCAGGTAATTGTAAGGTCGGGCCAAATTCCCCTTCATGAATTATCTCATCTACTCATTCGTTGTGCTTTCTCTTAACAGGTTTGGCTTCACTTTTTGACCCTGTTTGGGAGATGATGGATGCCACCCCCTAATGTGCCATCTCTGTTGGCCTCTTGGAAGCAGCCCAGTTTATCGACTAAAGGAAAAATTATCTGGATGCTCTCCCCTCTTGCATTTTGCTGGGCTATCAGGAAGTACAGGAACAATAAGATATTTGAAGCAAAGTCCTCTCCTGTCAAAGTGGTGATCAACAAAATAGAGTGTTCGCTTCTTTAGTGGATGGGGTCCCAAAGGATTTTTTATGATGTCCCCATTCACACTTTCCTGAATCAATGGAGAAATACCATTTACTAATTAGTAAGCTTTTTTTGTGGATTTATGTACAGAGCTGAAAACATTTTTTTTTCTTATTTTTGAAATAGCTGTATAGCAGCCTTGTATATGCTTTTACATGTTTCTAATATAGTAATGCAAATTTCACACCATTTATAAAAAAATTATTTAAAACGTTTCATAATTTCTGGCCATTCTTTTAACTTGTTGCATTATTAGTTCACTTGAATTTTTGTTTTCACTGATTGTCCTTTTTCAAATTAATGCCATGTTTAAGTGAATGGATTCTTAATTCTTGGACAGGTCATCAAAATGGCCAAAGCACTGCAAAGATTTAGAATGAGAAGAGCATTAGTTGTTCACTCGGAGGGTCTAGATGGAATGAGTCCC